CGAAGGAGTGATTTTGGCTGTCACTCCCATCCTTAGCGAAAAGTTCGTCAACTGTGGTTGGTGACAGAGCAGAAAACAAAAGGAGCTTCTCTTCTCTTATTCTGAATTAGGGTTCCGGTCGGTGGGTGGGTTCGTACTATTTACCAGTAACGATATTGTTGATGTCACCTTTGACTTTAACTATTTTTAGGGTGCGATTTTTGACACCGCATTGCAAATTGGATTTGATTCCATCTATACACAAGTTTCACACCAAAAACGTGTGTTACGCTTAAAAGATCAATTAGCAAAAAAAGAAACCAACAATAACAATAACTTTTTCTTATCCATCAAAACTATAATAATTACATTTTAAACATAAAAATATGTGTGTACTTCTTTAAATGTGTGATTAGGTATATTTTCTCATTCTTATGTACGATCAACATAGTAATGGTGAAGATAAAATATACCTAATCACACATTTAAATAAGTATACACATATTCTTATGTTTAAAGTGTAATCATTATAGTTTTGATGTATAAGAAAAAGTTTTTGTTGTTTTTTTTTTTTTTGGCTAATTGATCTTTTAAGCGTAACGCAAGTTTTTGGTGTGAACCTTATGTATGAATGGAATCGAATCCAAGTTGCAATGTGGTGTCGAAAATTGCACTCTAAAAATAGTTAAAGTCAAAGGTGGCATCAATAGTATCGTTACTGGTAAGTAGTACCAACCCACCCACCCACCCTTCTTCTTCTTCTCCTTTGCACAGAAGCTATTTGCATTTCTCTTCTTCTCTACAAGCTTCTTCTTCCTCGTTCATTCCGTGGTAGGACATGGTTCTTCCCCGAAGTTCTCGTCTAGCCCAAAACCTCGGAGTTTGCGGATTCGAGGTTAAAGAAGCTTCATTTCCTTGTTTTCCTTGAATTGGTTGAGCCTTTGGGTGTGAGTTGTTAGAGTTGCTTATGAAAGTTAATTAAAAGTTGTTAAGTTACATTAAGTTGTTTTAAAGTTATCAAGATGACTATTGTTGAAAAGCTGAATGAAAGATGAGTATTGTTGTAAAGATTTACAAAGATGTCTATTGTTGTAAAGTTGGGGACATATGGTGAAGATATATGTCCTATGTTGAGATACATAGTACTAAAGTGATAAGTTGAAAGTTATTTTCTTAAAGTTGAATCCCTTAGTACTGTGTGGGCAGCATGGAAGTAATCGATTCATGTCATGGTTGAATGACCAATTTGAGTAAGGTACCTAGTTAGAGATGTAACATTTGACTAGATATTGGAGGGTGCGTGGTACTTGGAGGGTAGTGGGTGGGCTAACTCCATATGTGAATTGGTGATGCAAGTCAAGGCCATGGTGTCTATTTTATTGTAGTGAATTACCATTGCAATCACAATTTAAAACCATGATATCAGAATTCAAACTCTTACATCTTCGTGGATTCAGGCTCGATTCTTATTAAGTAAACTAAAAACTTTTGTTAACAAGTAATTATATTTAACATTAGAAGTAAAAAAGTTGGTATATATGTAGGCTTACATCAGAACCTTCGGATGCTGAAGTTGTTAGTAGGCATATTGCAAACACAAGAATTAATAATGAAGCAGGTGATTTGCTCGAATTGTGCCATGATGTTGGAAAGTTGGAGATGCACCACAGGTGTCTAATTGTAAGCTTCAAGACTTTTCACGAGCGTTTTGATATCATTATATATATAGTTGTATGTATGAATTCATAGTTGTTTGTAGCGATCAGAATATTAATTATTTTGCCTCGCCTTGTCAACAGGGCTGTGCTTATTATTTTATTGTGTGTGTATTATTGTTAAGTCTCAATTTTACTTCTTTTTAGATGAGACTTGTCAGACCCTACCAGGTCCAACGTAAAAAAGTTTGCGAAAATTACAAAAATGTCACCACATTTTTTTTACGTCAAATTTCAGGATTTCTGACGTAAAAGGGGTGACGTAGTAACCTTATTTTGTACTAGTGATATGGTCCATAGGTTTGGACATCCACTTGCTCATGCAAGTGGTTTGGACGTCCAAACCATGCCAAGCTTGCCATCCAAGCTACAAATTAAGTCACATAGCTTTGATATTGATATCTCAACAAACTTGTTAAAAGTAATCATTAATCTAATAGTTGTAATGATTAGGTTAGGTAGTTAGAGTTAACTTAAGCTAACCTAGGTTATTCTTAAACTAAGATTAGCTTAGCTTGCTTCATAAGCTTCTAGACAACTAACTAAACTTGTAGACATTTAACTAGAGTTAGTTGGCTTAAGTACAAGATAGTTAACCATGGTTACACTTAACCATGGTTAGTTTAGCTTGCATTATAAGCCATCTAAACTCTATAAAGTGTAATTTTTTCCATTTTGTAGGAAATTTTGATGTATATTCATAATTTTGGCTAAGAATTTCTCTCTAAAGTCTAAATTCTCTCTTTGATTTGTTTTCAATTCTCTTATTCTCTTCCTAAGAGTGTTGTACGATTTGAAGTGGTTTATCTTCTACCTTGAAGTGACACTACTTGAAGAGAGTACTTCACCTTCTAAGGTGAAACTAGAGGCCTCGACCACCATTAGAGATCTTGAAGAAACTTGAGGAGTGTCAAGAAGTAAAAGATATAAGGAGGAACTTGAAAGAGAAGCCATATCAATCTAGTTGCTCCTAAGGTTTCCATCACTTATAAATTAAATTATAATTAAAATTCATAAAATAATTATTTAAATATATGAAATATATTTCAAATTTATAACAAATAATTTAAATTGTGACATAACATTATTTTTAAATTAAAATTAACAAATGATTAAAAGAATTAAGTATATAAATAAAGATAATAAAAATGATTTGATTTGATTTGATTATGAGACATATATTTTAACTAGTTGTAGAATTTGACTATATTCAGTAAAATTAGTTCATAAGTTGACTAAAAGCTTATAAGCTATAAATTTGGAATTTAAAAATTAGAAGTTTATAAGTTAATTGATTGAATTGACAATGTTTAGTAAAATTAGCTTATAAGTTAGTTGATTAATATAAAGTGACATATTGATTTATTTGATAATGAAAGTAAGAGAATTAACATGTAGGTAAAATGACTTCTAAATTAAAAAGAATAAAATAAGATTTCAAGTAAATAATAAAAATAAGAAGAGAAAAAACCTAAAAACTAACAAGTTATAGGTTACTTCAATTAATTTGTTTAAAAATAAGTTATAAGCTTCTAAATAAATTTTTTGTATCAAACAAACTTATTTTTATCATATTAATCGATAAGTGAATCGAAAAAAAAAATTATAGACTCCTCAAATGTCTTGTTAAACACACTGAATATATAACTAAGGAGTTGGACATAAATGGTTAATGTATTGAATCGAAGGTCGAATCTTTTAAACAATATCCAAGTTTGATCCTTGGCAAAAAAATCCTTGACTAGACTTTACTTCCTTTCTGGTCGAATTAGATTAGTCTAAGACGAAGTCTTAGAATATTGATACCAAACAAAAAAAACCACTCAATATATAAAATGCATGTCTCAATAAGTAGGAGAAAATATCAAGAATTTAAGTGAAAAAAGTAATAACTTTACCCTCTAAATCTGATGTTAATTTATAACATAAAATAAATAAGTTTAGACAACACATTAAAAAAATAATGTTAAAACCCTTCTAGAGAGGATTTCATTAGACAAATCCATGTGAAAAGGAAAGATAGAAATAAATGGAGTTCTCATATTGGCAAACTCACCTACCCATGGGGTTATGTATAGGGATGTGAATGGGATAAGGTAGTTATGGTAGTAGCTTTTCGTTATCCTTGTCAAATAAATATTTATCTTGTACTCATCCTTATATCTGTGTGAGTATCTATTGAGTAGGTACTTCCATATTTTTTCGACGAATGTTTGTGATTGACAAAATATCATCACTAATAGTGACGAATTTTAATTTTTGTGACGGACTACCATTTATTGAAGTTTGTGATGGATTTTGTGACGGATTAAATTTGTCTCTAAAAGATCCGTCACAATTTTTGTCACTGAATAAAAAAATAAAATTAGTGACGAATTTTCTGATGGATTAAATTTTTTCTCTAAAAGATCCATCACAATTTTCATCACTAAATAAAAAAATAAAATTAGTGACGAATTAAGTTCCTCTATAAATATTCCCTCACAAAAATGCGTCACAAAACTATAATAAATAAGTCAGTGAAGATTAAAACAAAAATGTTTAAACGGAATTCTCAACAATTATATAATCAATCATTTAAAACATTCTGATATGCGATATATACTGCCTAAAATGTATCCGCGCTGCTAGCTCGATTTCCATCAAGAGCATAAGACTATAACAGCAGCATATATGCTTTTTATTGCGATATTGCCCAAAATGTTAGTGTTAAGGTTAAGAAAAGATTAGTGTTTGGATAGTATATATATGCAAACTTCATTTTCAACAATTTTAATTTTGTTAAATAAATTTGAAGTAACAAAATTATAAGAAAAGTAACGTTAGATTATTTTAATAAAAATTTACATATACAACTGTTAATAAAGATAAGTAATGAAACTCAAAGGTCTCGTTTTCTTTATAGGTGAACAAAGATTTGAATACTAGCTTGTATTGATACAACCATTGCAAAATGACGGCTATGCCCTTAACTTTATAAATGAAGATCAAGATTAATTGTTTGAACTTGCTTTAATCGAAGGTTTTGATGAGACTAAATAAATTATATTTTGTTCTTCATGATCTTATTGATGTTGTTGATTTTACTTTATGTAATTTTTCCGATTCTTATTAAACAAAGGTTTTTATTTAGTTAATTATTTTTTTATTCATAATATTTATTTTGACTTATTAATCACATATTGTAAGATCTCGTAGATTTAATTGATGTTGAAAAATAATATGTAAATAATATATAGTACCATCATAAGCATTATGAAATATCGAAGCATACAACAAGCATACAACGAATTATATGCATTTCAAAAAGATTTGAGACAATAGAATTACAAATATATATGTTGGTCCAACACTCCAACTTCTTGTAGTGCTCGTTATGAGCCTTTCTTATTTAAAAACCATAAAATATGATATGACATGATGATGATCATGCTTCTTTATTTCCACCACTAAATACATAGATTTTTGCTTAGACGACACAAAAGGCAAAAAGCGAAGTTCCAGAAGTAAAATTTCCAAGATTGAGTCCATTACCTATCTTATATCCATTTCCAAAATAAATACACCCATCACTGACGGACATGCCACCATACACTGTGGATCCAGTCTCATAGGACCATAAAATTTGGCCAGTCTTAGCATTGATTGCATAAATAGGTCCTTTTTGATTTGTTGAACCAGCAAAGACAATGCCATTAGCTACAGTAACAGGACCACTAGCGGTGGCATTACTAGGGTTGGCTGTGGACCACAAGGTCTTGCCACTGCTTGCGTCCATTGCCACCCACCCTCCACTAGTAGTAGTCTTGTTCGATGGTCTAAGAGTGAAGTTCTTGCCATCTGAATTTACAATGTTAGTGTATACCCTTTCTTTGTCACTTGCTGCTCCCCATGTTCCACCTCCTGCAACCCCACCTGGTCCAGCTTCCTATACAAATCAAACACTTCATTAATATTTAACATCTCTTTCTTTCTCTCCCTGTATATCACGATATATTAATTGCCTACTCTATAGGCTCATAAAAACCAACACATGGATCATGCACAAAAAAGTATAGAGGAATTAAAAATGTTACCGTAGACCAAATGAGCCTGCCGTTATCGCGGTGCAACGCCCAAGCAAAACCACTCTTTTGAACAGCAACAACAACGTCTTGTTTTGTTCCATTTACATCAATCGTGAGCACCATCGGTGCCTCCCCAAAATCAGCATCTGGGTTAGGACCAGGTGGACATTTAGGCGTAGACAAATTAAAGCACGAAAGGATCCATATGTCATATCCTCCCAATTGGTGGAACCATTCGATTTTGCCACTGTCCAAGTCTAGGGCAAGAATTGAATCAGACTTATTGTCTGGCTCAACACACTCGTCAGGATGAGTGGGTTGTGTTAAGTTATTCTCTTTTTGTTGACATTGGCGTGTGTGCAAAGGGGCAGAATACAAGTTTCCGGTGGCAATGTATATGTGGTTCCTTGAGGCATCTATTGAAGGGCTACTTCCCCAAACTGCTGCTCCAGCATAGTCTCCTATTTCTCCATGATTATCAGGCAACATGAATGTTTGCCACAAAATGGCACCAGATTGGATATCTAGCTTTGACAAGCTGCCCCTAAATGTGCAACATTCTTCTATTTTTAGGCCAACTTCTTCTAGTGAAGATGTCCCAACATAATAAGCCCTGCATGCAGCATAGATGGAACTTCAGTGCAAAGAATATTTGTACAATAAGCTTTTCACGAGGTGATGTTATTTATATAAATGACCTGAAAGTATTTGGTTAAATGCTATAACTATAAATTTTATTATTAGGTAGTAGCGTATTAAGACATTTCATACTTCTGAGTACTTCTAAAAAATTAAAATAAAAGTGAACAATTAAAAGTAAAGAGGTGTAAATAGATTTTGGGTAGTTATTGTTACAAGGATATTTTTTAAAAATATAGTAGAGAAGGAAAGAATAGTTTAAGAGGTAATTTTAAAAATGTAGATATTAAATGGAGATATTTTTTTATTAATAGTATAAATATTTAAAAAGTATTTGGTTAAACTTTAATATTTGTAAGAATACTTTTAAATTTTAAAATAATTTAAATAAAAAATGTTAAAATGAAGGTGCAATTCTTAGAAAATTTTATCCGTATTTTCCTAGTAATAATATTTTTGTTCCACCTGATTGTTTAGAGAATAAAATTGTAAGAGAATATGATAGTACAATTTTTACTAAAATTTAAAATATACAAGAGGAATGTTTTAAAATTTGTGGCATATATGAAAATATTATGTTCAACATTTAAGAGGTATATATTGGATTGAGATTTTAAAGTAATTTTTAATTTAAAAAATTATTGTGGTATTTAATAAAAAAAATTAAATATAAAAAGTTATGTAGTATTCAATTAAAATAATTATGATTTTTTAAAAAGTACTACATTAAAATTTGGTAATATTCAAGTAAGACAATCAAGAGTTTTCTAGAAGTATATCAAAATCTGGTAGTATTTAATTAAAATTTTTTCACTTAAAAAAAGTTTGCTAATATTCAAAAACATTGAAATTTTAATGGATTATTTTTATATATAAATGAATTTTGAGAGATTTTTTTAGTATAATTTACATATAATTCAATTATCCAATAATTTTATTAAAATAATTAATTTTCATATAATTTTTTTCTTGTTTATTTTTTTTTTCACTCGCCTTTTTGCTTCTCTGTTCCTCTTCTTTCACTCTCTCCTTTTTGTATCTCTTTTTTTTTCCTCTCTTTCTCTTCTCTCGCCCTCATGTATCTCATCTTTTTCTATCTCTTTCTCCTCCCTCTCTCTCTTCTCATGTCTTCTCTACTTTACATTCTCTCTTTTTTTTTTTTTCCATCACTTTCATGTATTTCTTTTTCTTTTTCTTCTATCTATTTTTCTCTTTTTTCTTTTATCTATCAATTTTTTTTATTTTTATCCATCAATATTAATATATAATTTATCAATATTTATTTTTAATTATTAAATATTAAAGTTATTTTGAATTATTAAATATTATATTGTTAAAACTTTAAATTATTAAAATTCAATAAATGTTTATTTTCAATAAAAACTAATATTGAAACAACAAAATTTTAAACATATATTAAAAATATATTTTGACAATTCTACCGATTAATAAATATCATAAATTTGATTTTATTTTTTTATTAATTCAAACCTTATCATTTATGTTACTTTTTTAATTAATTGTATTATTTTTTTTATGATATAATCCTTTCAAATCGTATAGATTCTTAAAATATAAATTCATTAAAATTCATATTATAAAATTTTGATTAACAAAATCTTATTAAAAGTCATTACATTTTTAGAAAGTTTTTAGATTTTTTTTTAAAAATTATTAAATTTCTAAAAAAATCTTTTAAAATCTAAAAAAAAAAATACTAAAAAAGTCTTATAATATCCTAATTCAATACAACTCTTATATATCTGAGAATGAAACTTCAATCGGTGAGATTCTTTTTCTTTTTCATATATAAGATCATAGCCATGCACTTAAAACAAGTACTGCCAGCTTTAACTATTGCATTGTTAGTTATAAATAAATTCCATACAAATAAAAAATATAAATTAATTTATGAAATTATAAAACGTGTTCATAATATTTTTAAGTTAATTTTAAAAATTATAAATTAAAAGAAAAAATAAAATTATAAAAATTGTATGATAAATTTAAAATAATTTCAATTTGAAACTTTTTAAAAAAGAGATGTCCATAATATCACGTGTCGTATGAAAGAGTAAACTGCAAAAGATTAAATTAGGAGTATCATTTCTGATTGAGTAGGATTAATTTTGAAGAAAAAAATTAATGTTTTTTATTTAATCTCATAAATATTTTTTATTTTATATATCATTCAATTATTTTGAATATAAATTTAAATTTGATCCTATCCAATCCAATAAAAAAATGTTTTGAATTATATTAATTTTTTAATTTGTATTTTATTCTTTTTCCTACTCGTACAAGTCACAATCTACTTTAACATTTATATGCATCCACTATACAATAATAATAAGATTTAACTTGCATTCAACTATTAATTAGCAAAGAATATCAGTTGTTAACTTTCGAATAATTGGATGTTTAACTTTAGAGACCACACGCTCCCACTAAACCCTAAACATTAAACACTAAATTTTCACACATATATATCAAAAGAATCGTTGAACAGTATACACGAAGTTGTAGTGACCTTTTCATAGCATGATAGCAATAAATGAAAAGTCAACGTTTTGCTTTTAGTTGACTTTTGTGCTTTTATCAAAAGAATTATTGAACAGTATATATATTCACGAATTTGTAGTGACCTTTTCATAGCAATCTAATGAAAAGTCAACGTTTTGCTTTTAGTTGACTTTTGTGCTTTTATCATCTAGAAATGTAAATTATCATCGCAGGTACAAAATTATCATTTATATATAACAACTAATATTATTGGAATTTCTCTTATTACATATAATTTTTTCTGCAAATTTTTCACAGAAAATGTTATTCCAACAAATTTGTTTACAAAATTTTATTTCTAAGTAATAGCTTCATGGATAATATATTTTTGCAAATTTTAAAACTCGCAAGAAATTTTCTTGGGAAAAAAATTCATAAGAAAGTTTCTTGTAAAATTTCCTGCGAATTTTTTTACAAAAAAAAAAAAAATAACTGTTCAAAGGTAATTTTCATATAATTCATATTAATAATTCTTCAACTTTCAAATACTTAAAAATGAATTCATCTAAAGCATGTAAATTATAGGTCTAATACTCAACTATACAAAATCAACTTGTAAGGTGAGTGTTATCCCAACTTCTATATTCTTTAATTATTATTTTATTTCTAATCAATGTGGGACTTGAGGTATATCTTTTAATTCTTAAACTTATAAATTTATATATATTTTTTTTCCTGCAAATTAAAATTGGCAAGAAAATCTGTAAGAAAAGTTACTTGCAAAATTTTTCTACCATTTAATTAACATTACTTGCCAATTTATTTTTACAAGAAAATTCTCAAGAAACAAGATAAAGTTCTTACAACATTTTTTGCAAATTTTTACCATGAAAAAAAAATTCTATAATCATTAAAATTGTAGCAAAATTTACAAAAAAAAAATGTGGATTATTTTTCATAAAAGAATTTATAAGAAATTTCTGTAAATTATTTTTCGCAAATAAATTTGTAAACAAATTTTGTAACATTATTATTGCAAGAAAATTCACAAAAAAATCTGCAAATATTTTTTTGTAGGAAAATCCTTAGGAACATGACACTTTTTTAGTAGTGTAAATGACTCGTCTCGTCTGTATATTTTATCTTCGGTTCTTATAATTAAAAAGTAATACTTCAGGAAAAAAAAAACTTTAACATGAAATAATATGTTAATTTTCTTAAAAAATTTGACGACGTAATATATGTCTTTTAATTTAAGAGACAAAAGATAAATACAAGAAAAGAAGCACCAATAAAATGAAAATATAGAAGAGTGAATGATAGGAGAAAAGAAGGTTAAAAAGAATGAACTGACCCTTTGTAATAGGTTCCAGACATAGTGACAACGCTGGAGTTATGGCTGTCCAAACGTGTCTGCCACACCAACTTCCCTGTCGATCTTTTCACAGCAATAACAACCGCAGGACCATATATTCCGACCACCAGAAGATCATGATCATCACCTGCTATGGTTGGCGTTGCTCTTGCCACTGTCCAGTTAACACCTTCCACAAACCCCGTTGCAGTTAGCCCCGTTAACTTCCCCAAGTTCTGCTTCCACACCACAGAACCATCTCTTGCTCTCACTGCAAAAATCTCCCCATTCCAACATGGAAAGTAGAGTGTGCCATCGAAAATTGCAGGGGTTGCAGTTATGTCTTTTCCTGCGTTCATCTTCCACTTCAAACTTAGGTTCCAAACACTCTCAACGCTGATCTTCTGCTCCATGCTGGCGTATCTTCTGTTGTATATATCTCCCCCATGGTTTAACCAGTTTTGTGCCTTTTCTGTACAGGTCAATATGTCCTAAAACCACTCAACAAATGTAAGTTCAATTAATTTTGAATCTGTTTGAATAAAAATTTAAAGATGTTTTTGAGAATTTTTTTATTAAAATTAAAAAATATTTTCAATAGAAAAATATTTTTACCTTATATTCAAACATATTTTTAGTTCAGAAGTAACTAATAATTACAGTTATCTTCTTTTTGGACATAAAATTAAGTTTAAGTGAGTTATCCAAGTTAACTTAAGTTGGGATAGGTCTCTCGACTCAAAACATATATATTTAATATTATTCACCATCAACATTTTTCACATTAATGAGTTAGGAATCTTGGGATTTTAAATTGTTATCCAGCAACTATAATCTGAAACGTAAAAACTCTAAACTTTTAGGATGACCAACATTTATTCGCAATTTTTCATAATATTAAAGATTTTAGAAGTAATCGTAATTACCATTGCAACCACAATTTAAAACCATGATATCAGAATTCAAACTCTTACATCTTCGTGGATTCAGGCTCGATTCTTATTAAGTAGACTAAAAACTTTTGTTAACTAGTAATTATATTTAAAATAGAAGGAAAAAAGTTAGTATATATGGAGGCTTACATCAGAACCTTCGGATGCTGAAGTTGTTAGTAGGCATATTGCAAACACAAAAATAATGAAGCAGGTGATTTGCTCGAATTGTGCCATGATGTTGGAAAGTTGGAGATGCACCAGTGTCTAATTGTAATCTTCAAGACTTTTCACGAGCGATATCATTATATATATAGTTGTATGTATGAATAATGCATAGTTGTTTGTAGCGATTAGAATATTAATTATTTTGGCTCGCCTTGTCAACAGGGCTGCGCTTGTTATTTTATTGTGTATGTATAATATAATTGTGTGTGTATAATATAATCAATTATCTAAAACATTCGGATATGCGATATATACTGCCTAAAATGTATCCGCGCTGGCTCGATTTCCATCAGGAGCATAAGACTATAACAGCAGCATATATGCTTTTTATTGTGATATTTCCCAAAATGTTAGTGTTTAGGTTAAGAATAGATTAGTGTTTGGATAGTATATACATGCAAACTTCATTTTCAACAATTTTAATTTTGTAAAATAAATTTGAAGTAACAAAATTATAAGAAAAGTAACGTTAGATTATTTCAATAAAAATTTACATATATAACTGTTAATAAAGACATGTGATGAAACTCAAAGGTCTCGTTTTCTTTATAGGTGAACAAAGATTTGAATACTAGTTTGTATTTATACAACTATTGCAAAATGAAGCCTATGCCCTTGACATTATAAATGAAGATCAAGATTAATTGTTTGAACTTGATTAAAAATCGAAGGTTTTGATGAGACTAAATTCTTCATGTTCTTATGGATGTAGTTAATTTTACTTCGTGTAATTTTTCTAGTTCTTATTTAATAAAGGTTTTTATTTAGTTAATTATTTTCTTTTTATTTATAATGTTTATTTTGGCTTATTAATTACATATTGCACGATCTCGTAGATTTATTTGATGTTGAAAAATTCTTTTGAAACTATGATATATAGAGAATAACACTAATAATGTTTGTTATTATGAATTAAATAAGTCTTATTAGTCAAGGTTTAGACATGTAATCTTAATGTGGGTTGTTTAATAAACTTTATCAAATAATTGATATTTTTCTTAAGAAACATAAAATTTCTCATATAACAAATTAGGATTAAAACTTTCTTGTTGGTTGTTGAATTAACTTGATAATTTATAAAATCAATCACTAACATCTTTTATCATATATTTTGAGTAAACACTCAATTTGGTTTCTGAAAGATGAATTGGTTCTTGAAAGATTTTGTGACATTTAGGTCCTTAAATTTTAATTTTATTATACAAGTTAATCCTTTCATTATACCCGGTTACTAACTCTGTTAGTTTCTTAACTAGTAAATAATTAAGTGTTAAATTGACACCTAGTCTCTCTCCTAGTTAATTGTTCTCTCTACAAGATTTTGACACTTTCCAATTAGCAATGGACACTTTATTATATTTAAATATTTTGGTCATATATAGATGTTCTGGTTAAAATGGAAAGTTATTGTTAGATTTTATAAGATTTCTTATAATTGAATTTTTTTGTCTCAGTCAATATCCTTAGTTTCTTCGATTGTTTTGGTTATAGGGTCAGGATTATAAATCCTAAGTTATTGAATTTGAGATTTAATAAAATGAATAATCATTATGAAAAATCTCAACCAATGATGTATCAATCAAATATGAATGTTTATGTTATATTTAATAGTTTTCAGAACTCCTTTAATAGAACTGGGGAAGTGTTTAGTAGTATTAAGAAAGAGTTGGAAAAAATAAGCTATTCAAACGTCACTTTAATTATTTTTAAATTAAAATAAAAAATAAATCTTAATTTAGCATGTGTCTAAATCTATTTAGTTTGTAATTGTTATATACCAACTAAAAGAGAAAACATGTTAATGTGGAAATTAACTCTTAACTAGTAAAACTAGCAGACTTAATATCTAAGTATAATAAAAATAATAACTTTCATAATATAATTAAAATTTATGGATTCATATGCAAGAAAAAATCTTTCAAGAATCTATCAATCACTTCTATCATTTATTGAGAATCAAAATAATTGTTTATTCTATATATTTTCATTTATCTTCTTTTCTTTATCAGTCTTCTTATTCTTAAAATCTTAAAACTACGTTCTTTAAATAATTTTTTTTCTTTTCTTTAATTAAGATTAAATTATATTAATTAGTTGTTACAGTAGCTAGAATTAATGGATTCAATATTTGAATTTTTGTCTATTTTTCTACTTACAATAAACGTTTGTCAAACTACGTTTGTCAAAAGTGTAACAATTTTGGATCGGGTCAAAATTGAAGTATCACTTATTCACTACACCAAAATTAGTTTTTTGTGGCAATTAATTAATTTTTTAGCGGTCATATAAATAATAATTATTTTTTTTACCAGCATTTAAATAATGACTGGTGTATCCAGGGTCGCTAATATATTATTACCGGCATTTATATAAAATGTTGGTAAAGACCTACTAAATTGTTAGGAAAACTTATTTTTTTGAGTGAAAATTCTAGTAACAAGACTATTAAAAGTTATTTTTTTCAATTGTCTCATTTTCATCCATTTAGTGACTTTTATTTTTTGCTAGTAAAACTTTCAATAATTTATTCCTATAATTTTTTTTTTCTAAATTCATAACTTATATACTTTTTTATTTCTAGTCGATGTGGGATTTTTAAGACGAGGGTTGTCTTCTATTTATATTTTTTTTAATTATCTTGTCTCTTAAGAGATGTGAGATTTATAAGGTAAAAGTTGCTCTCTAATTGTTTTATAGCACTATTGAACTTGGGAATAATAGGTGATTTGATACTAATTTAGAATAGTGAATTAGGAGTCTAACTCAACCCTATAAAATCAACTTGTAAGGTGATAGTTATTACTCACTTATATACTATTTAATTATTTTATCTCTAACCGATGTGGGACTCAAGTTTTTTTCAATAAATAATTGTCGCTAATAATAAATTTTAATGTAATATAAATACATTTTTAGTGACTATTATATATTAGTCATTAATATTTTTATTATATAATTAAATAACAATAATTAAATTATTGTCATTAAATAATTGTCGTTAATACCAAATTTTGTTTTAGTGATTATTTATCATTTTCATACAGAAGTCGTTTAGGAAATGATATTTTTTTTTTGGTGAGGGGGAACAAAAAAAGGAAACAAAGAAACTAAGAAACTACATCTAACAGAAGCCACTTGAGTATAGATGGAGGAGGACTCGTCCAATACTCAAAAACAGGGGAGGACAAGGCCCCCAGCTTTGCCAAGGCATCCGCACTGCAATTACTGTCTCTATCAATCCAAAGGAAGTTCACCGTCCAAGGTTTGTCCACCAAGGAGAAAATATCAAAGAGATAAGAAGCATGAGAGTGTAGGTAAGCTTGATCTCTATGAAGAAGAGACTGCACGATATCCATGGAGTCAATCATACATTGAACAGTTTTAAATCCCAAATGCCATGCGATCTTGAGACCTTCCAGAATGGCCAATAACTCAGCTAAAGAAGGATCACCATGTGAAGAATTGCCGGAGAAACCAGCTAACCAATGACCTGATACGTCCCGGATTAGACCACCAAAGCCCAGACGAGATTGATCAGAGAACCAACAACCATCAACATTCAAGTGAACAGTGGACGAGTCAAGAGGAAATAGGGTAGGTGTGAGTTGAAAATCAGAAGAGAGTGCCAAATGAAGATTCAAAGCATCCAAATAGATACACCTGACTACATAGTTCACCGACCAACAAGAAGAATCCAAAATCATGTTATTGCGCCAGCGCCAAGCCCACCAAATTGTTAACATTCTGAGTTCTTTATCCTCTGCCGAGAGTTGTTTAAAAGTCCAAGCCACAGGATCAAGAATATGAAAATCATTACTCTGAGCCAAATCCAATCTAGTCCAAAGCTCTCTGGAGTGGGGGCAGTCATGAATGCAATGAAGAATAGTCTCAATGTTACCAGAACACCTTGAACAATATGGAGAGTCTTGAAGATTACAACGGTTTCTAAAGGCGTTAGTTGGAAGAGCTTGGTGAATCAACAACCACAATAAAAATTTTATTTTCTCTGGAAGTTTAGACTTCCAAACCTTCCTCTATTGTATTGTGTCATTAGTGGTCCCCTTCAGCCAAGCATAAGCAGACCGTGTGGAATACACACCAGAGGTGCTAGCAGCCCACACAAAACTGTCCTGAGCCGAGATATTGGAGGGACCTGGGAATGGAGAGAGTTGATCTAAAAGATGGGAAGGTAGCTGGGTGCGTAAGCAGTTAAAGTTCCAACCATCAGCCGTGTAAAAATCCTGCACTTTAAGCTGAGTATCACTAATGTGTACATAATCCACCAAGTTGCAAAGACATCCTAGACCCGTCCAATCCTTATACCATAGAGAGGAATGACCATTGTTCAGCTTTGGTAGGAAACCATCTCTGAGTTCCTGGAGTGCAAGCAGAATGCTCCGCCAAGCAGGTGAAGAGGATGAAGGAGCTTTAGCATTTAAAACAGAGTCCCCTTTCAAATACTTACTAGAGAGAATCTGGACCCACGGTTTATCATGATCATGCAACATGGACCAGATCAGTTTCCCCAAGAGGGCTGAATTCATAAGCCGTAGATCCTTGATGCCTAGCCCACCAACGCCCTTGTCCGTCGTCACCTGATCCCAACCCACTAAGGCTTGGAAACGATCTTTATCCTTGTTAGCCCAAAGAAATCTTCTCATTGACTTTTCCAAGTCAGAACATAATCCTCTAGGAAGCCAGTTAACCTGCATAGAGTAAACTGGTAGAGAAGATACTACTGACTTGATTAAGCACAACTTCCCAACTCTATTCAGAAGCTTCAACTTCCAGGCTGCCAAACGCTGATTTGTCTTCTCCAGAATATGAAGAAAGTCTCTACGTTGAGGTCTCCCATTAGGTAGGGAGAAGCCTAGATAGCGACCCAAATTTGTAGTAATTCGCATTTGAGAGATTTGAGAGAGGTGTTCTTTGACTGATCTAGACACCCCAGTTGAGCACATCATTTTTGATTTAGAGAGGTTAATTTTAAGCCCAGAAGCTTCACAAAATACATTCAAGGCAGATTTGATCACTTTAACTTGAGAAACCTTTGCTTTTGCAAAAAGAAGAACATCATCTGCAAACAACAAATGAGTAATTCCAGGACCTCCCCGAGAGACATGGATGGGCTGCCAAACATTACTATCGACCAATTGTTGGATAGATAACGCTAATTTTTCCATACAGAGAATGAACAAATAATAATAATAATAATAATGATATGAACTGTCACTTCTAAAAACCAAGAAGATGTTTATGTAAACTGTAAAGGCTACAGTACTTAATCTCCTGCGAAGTGCGAAGTCAGCTTCACCAATCTATTGGATGGATTTAGATATGTCCAAACTTTGATAAACCTCACATCTACGTTATCCATTCTTTTTTTATATATATTTTTATGTGAGCTCATTTCAGATTGGTTTTATTTATACCTTCGCCGGCTAAATTGGTCAATTTATTTTGATTAGTAAAAAATAATAATAATAAAAGGCTCATGACTTTTGAGAAAGTAATTATAAGAAAAAAAATTATTCACATTAGAAAAAATTAGTTTACATTTAATTTTTTAATTTCATTAAAAAGAAATTTATTTTCTTAAATTATCCTTATTTGAAACTTAATATCAAAAATAACAAAATATGAAAAATATAATTGAAAGAGTATGTTAAAAATATAATTCTAAACCCTAAACTTAAAAATGATGTCGTTAAATACAGTAAAATTAATTAAAATTTATTTATATTTGAGTCATATTTTGTTTTTTATTTGCATTTAATTAGAATCAAAAGTAGTACTTTACACGTAAAATCTAAAGAACTCGGGTCAACCACGGTTGTGTGAGAAAAATGTAGGAAAATCCTCAGTTGGGAAACTCATCTACGTGATTCATCCACCCAACTAAAACTTTGCATGTTAACTTTGCCCCGAAGTTAGAGCTGAACTTTGGGCCATATTTCGTATGCCGTCAAAGTTGACTATGAAAAGAGGCTTCAAAAAACTCTTAACAGAGAGGGATTCAAGGTGTGGTCATCAACCTCATTAACAAAGGGTCATTAATATCATATGCACCCTCTTGAGAAGTTTTTACACTCGTGATGTTTTTTGTATAATGCCTTGCTGGTTGACATTTCAGCAACAGTGTTCTGGCGGTTGTTTTATGTTGTTTTTGCCTTTCTGGCCTTTTCGCCGTTCTTGCAATAAAATTAATTAAATAAATTAGAGTTCAGTTGAATTGAAATTACCCTAATAATAGAAATAATATAATTAAATAGAAATTCATAAATTTAAAAAATAATATTAAAAAAAGAATATTAATTTTATGTTGTTCGAATAGTGAGTGGTGGAAGAGTCTTTGAGATGAAGCTTGAAGTACATTCCAAAAAACTAGTGTCCCAAACTACAATGTGTGGCGATGGTAGCCACCTAATTGAGGTTAATAGGTAATTTACGATTAAATCACTGAAAATCCTAAATCTTAAATTCTAAACAATAATAGTAAGAGAAATAGAGAAAACAAGTCAAACTTATTGTGATAAAGAGTCTTACTTAATTATTACCAAGGAGTAACGTAAGAGTTAGGTGCTTAATCCCCGAGCTTGCATGGGGATGTCATAATGAGAAAATGTTTGTAGGGGAGGGAGGTATGACAGATTTTATTTATGCATATTATCAAACAGTTTGTGGATGTGGAGTTTATGCAGAATTTTTGGACATGTCTTTTGTCCATCCCATTTCTATTCCAAAAGGCTTTTTAGCAATACCATATGTAATTTTTCAGGTTAGAGTCAGGTATGTGTAAGGAAGTCATGGGTTGGGGCTATTATTTGTTTCTCCTACTTGAGAGAGGGTGCTATATGGTTTTATACAACTTAATTTGTAAATTTTTAATTTTTCTCAGGCGCATCTTGTGCTGTGTTCTTTTATAATATCGTCCTTGTTTAAAAAAAAATACAATTTTTTGTGAGAAATTTATTGCGAATTTTTCTATAAAGAAAAATGTAGGAATTCGATTTCTTGTTAAAGAATAACATCAAACACAATCCAAATCCTCTGCACGCCATGCATTTACAGAGAATGAGGGATGAAGTTATTTTAAAGTAATTCTTGCTAAAACCAATTTTTTTGTAAAAATTAAAGTTTTTCATTAAATAAATTAAATTTATTAAATTTTATAAAATTCCAAAACTTGTTGATACTTCGTTAAACAATTTTAATTTAATGTATAATATATTTTTAAGTAAATATTAATTATAAGATTCATACCTATATACATGTATGATTTGTTTAAATTTTGGTTTACATTGTTGAGTTAATATCTAAATATTCAACGATTGGATTAATACAATTTAGTTATGTACGGAGTAACTTATATCTAGGGCATGATTAAGCATAAAAAAAAATTATCTAGGGTATGATCTAGTTACTCTAGTCACTAATAAATTTTAGTATTGACCTCAATGGAGTTAGTAGGAATGTGTCAATCAAGAACTAAAATATCATGAATTATTGTAATTAATAACCATGACTTTTGCATAAACATAATGTAACTCAGTTACCAAAAATAGGCGTACTGAGTCTATAAATTATTTAAAACCATTAATGGTTGTTATTAATAATAAATTAATAAACATGACTTGCATATACAACATAATGTGTCTAATTAAATTAAGTAAAATAGGTAATGGCTATCTGCTCATTAGAATTGTTCTTTGTAAAGAAAATAGTTCGGGAATTCTTTACATTTTGTTTGAATGAGAGAATAGAAAAACATAAACAAAAATAAATAAATAAAATTGTATTTTTTTTAAAAGAAAATTAACATTTTTTTTGTCACCTAAATAATTAGGTCAATTTTTTAATTATTTTTTAATCCACAACATAATGTTAATTAAATTTTTTTTTTGAAGAAATTTTATGTTTTTTAGTTTTATTTAAACATTTTATACATTTCCTTTTATTAATTTAAGAAAATTAATTAATATATCACATCTTATTACATCTTTATCATAAAAATATTGAATAGTATTTTGGGCGACAAACATAATTTTAATTAACAACGAATAACTCTTCATCTTATGTTTTTATTATTTGTTGATGTCATTTGGCATTTCTTTTGTTCGTTGTTTGTTTCTCTTTTAATTTTTTGAATAATAAAAAAATTAACAACAAATAAAACTAAAAAATTAGATGAGAAAAGTTAATTAAAATTATATTAAACTTAGTCAAATGTTTTAATATCCGAGTGTACTCGTGCACACTTCACTTTTTCTTTTCTATACATACTCGAGTGTCGTTGGAACAAGTCCCTAAAAAATTATTACATATATATCTGGGCAATTATATCACACCATCTCCAGATCCAAATATCCATGGCACTGCCTAAATACAGCATGCACTTAGCACTTTCTTTACTGTTATTTTGTGTTCATGCAGTAGTAATCTTTGCTGCAAGTTCTGATGTAAGATAATACTCATCATTAATTTTTAACTATTTTATATCATTTTTATTATTTCATCGTACCACCGGTTATACTTATACCTTTCTTTTATTTCTTTCTCACAGTGTCTAAATAGATATTTGAGTGTTCAAAAATCATTTTTGTTAAAATTAATCTAATTACTTGCTATTGGTTTCTTGCCTTCAGGGGCTTGTACAACAATCACAAGACTGGTTAAACCATGGTGGAGATTTGTTCAACAGAAGATACGCTTTCAAAGAGTATAAGATCAGCCCCGAAACAGCCCCGAACCTCCGTTTGAAGTGGAAATTCTATGCAGGCAAAGATATCACTGCAACACCAGCAATCTCTGATGGTACCCTTTATTTTCCAAGCTGGAATGGTTACATCTATGCAGTTAAAGAAGACGATGGATCACTGGTTTGGAAGCAGAACTTGCAGAAATTGACAGGTCTAAATGCAACTGGTCGTGTTAACAATGTAAATTCGACAGTTTCAAGGTCAACTCCCACAGTTGCAGGGAATTTACTGATAATTGGAATCTATGGCCCTGGTGTTGTCATTGCTGTCAAAAGAACCACAGGTGAGCTTGTATGGAAGACCACTTTGGATCACCACCCTGCAGCAGTCATCACCATGTCTGGAACATACTACGGAGGGTCAGTACCATACTTCAGCACAAAATTTATTTCCCTCACCTTGTTAACAAAATTAGGTGTTATTCTCCCATCATAGATTTCAGATTTGTTATATAAATGTTGATGTGATCCAATCAATAGTCAATAAGTCAATAATCAGCAATCAATATTCAATATGACAGGTTAATACTCAACTAATATGTTATATAAAAAAATATGCAAAAATTTCAAAATTAAGTGAAAAATTGTGCAATTCCAAAATTGAGTAGTAAAATTTGCAAAATCGTAAAACAAGTGAAAAAAAAAAAAAAAAAAAGAGAAGCAATTAAGTCATTTAAATTTTATTCAAAAATTAATTAATATCTTTTTCATTGTATACATACTATAACGGTCCACAGATACTTTTATGTCGGAACATCCTCACTGGAAGAATTTGTACCCCTTGCGGAATGCTGCACATTTCGTGGAAGTCTTGTAAAGCTTAATGTTCTATCTGGTGCCATCTTGTGGAGGACCTATATGCTACCAGATAACAATAACATGAGAGGGGAATATGCAGGAGCTGCCATTTGGGGAAGCAGCCCCTCTATTGATGTTAACAGAAACCATGTCTATATTGCCACTGGAAACCTCTATTCTGCCCCACTACGCATACTTCAATGTCAAGAAAGGCAAAACAATCAAACTACGCCAACTGAATCAGATGAGTGCATTGAACCAGACAACCACTCCAATTCAATGTTGGCCCTTCATATGGGTTCTGGGAAGATCATATGGTACGAACAGTTTGGAGGTTACGATCTATGGCTCGCTGAATGTATTGTTCCTTCAACTCCTAATTGTCCTCCTCAAATTGATGAACCAGATATTAATTTTGGGGAGGCACCAATGATGTTAACCATATATGTTAATGGAACCAAGAAAGATATTGTTGTTGCAGTCCAGAAAAGTGGCTTTGCATGGGCCTTGGATCGTAATAATGGCAAACTCGTTTGGAGTAGGGTAAGTAATATATATTTTATCATTTTTTAAGAACAAAATAAAATTCTTATTAGATCATACGTACTCATTTAACTACGAAGAATACAAAAAATTATGCAGTAAAACTAAAAATGTGCTTTGAAATACACCTAAACATAGATATGCCTCAAAAAGTATGAAAATCTCATAACAAATGTTATCGAATGATATCCTTGTTGGAATATAAATTGATTTTGTATGTTGGGCTTAAAAGGCCACTATTACAAGATACATTTTCTACATCGATCCCGTGAAACCATCTACATTGGTTCTAAAATCGATGTAGAATAGAGCGACGTAAAAAATATATAGATTTCTACATCGGTTCTGAGAACCGATGTAGATTAGGACATAAATCTACATCGTTTTTTTAGCAAAATCGATGTAGATTTATGTCCTAATCTACATTAGTTTTAGGTGAACCGATGTAGATTTATCTCCCCTTCTACATTCCTAATCTCATTGTTCCCACATAGGACTTCCTGTTCAAGTGGATGGAGGGCATGTGTTTTATAAAATTGAACATTTTGCAAGCCAAAACAACATTCAATCCAAATATGTATAAACATCTTATTCAAGGAAAGATAAATTAAATAGTACTTCTAATTCAATCCAAGTGATGAGTTTGTTTGACCAAAACCTAAAGGAACAGAAATAGAACCTTTCACCCTGACATAGAAAATTAACCTTCCCCAATCCCCCATGATTCTAAAATTCAGTCAACAGAGGATGCCAAATCAAATGATTAATGAAATCATCACAAATGAAGGTGCGCGGCTGGTGACCCCAATTTGTACCAAACTAAATAAACAACGAAAAAGGCATTTTAACAACCAAATTCTCCAAATACTTCTATTCCAAGTTTTCAATTCACACAAACCTATAAGACACTAATAAAGTTTGCAATCAATAGCTTGAAGTCCCTCACGTCGGAATCCCTGTTCTGCTTCTTGCACGCCTCAAGCGCCTCCTCCACTTTCCTCAGCAACACTCTGAGAGGCTCGTTGGACTCCGAAGTCGCCATCACGAGGCCGTGGAAGGCCTCCACGCGGAGCGGGTCTCGCTTGAGTATTTCCTCGAACAGGTTCTGTGCCTGAGTGTGTTCGTTGTAATAATCATTTTTTAAAGGGGTATTTTTGTAATTTTTATTAATGGCATTTTTGCAATTTTATTAAAGTTAGAGGGGTAAATGGGTAACGTGGAACGGGCTGTTCCAAAATTGGAATGGGCCGTTCCAAGCAATAAAAAGACACTAAATTTTAATTTGGGAACGGGTCCAGAACGGGTCGTTCCAACTGGGAGAACGGGCCGTTCTAATTTTAGGACGGGCAATTCTGGAGGGAGAACGGGCCGTTTCGGAAGGAGAACGGACCGTTCTGGATGAGTCTCGGAACGGGCCGTTCCAGTTCTAAAACTTACGTAACCTTTTCGGGCCCAGAACGGGCGTTCCTCTTTTTGAAACGGGCCGTTCCGGGTTAGGCAGGCAGAACTCTATAAATAGGGGGTTGGGGGTGTTGGAAAAGGTGGATTTTGGGAGAAGGTCCTAGAGAGAGAAAGAGGAGAGAGAGAGAAAGAAAGAGAGAGGAAGGGAAAGAAAAGAGGAGAGAGAAAGAGAAATCCAGAGAAAGAGGTTCTGCCAGGGGAAAGAAAAATAGGAAGGAGAGGATGAGGTTCTGCCCTAGTTTCAGATTTTTCTTTTCCAAGTAAGGGTAGTGCTTATAAAATTAATCTAGTACATATGAGCATGATAGGAATAGTATAATTTTAATATGTTATTTTATGTGGAGATTTTCATTTCACATAGTATAAATTGGATCAATTGATGATTGTTTTGGATATTTAATTATTTATATTATTATTATATTGACAATTTGGCATGGTTATGGTTATGTTTATATATAATTATGGAATATGCTATGTGTATGTGATTTGGAAAAGTAAATAGGACTTAGAGGAGTAAAATTATGGTATGGATTGGGAGATCTCTTGGTGAGATCAGGATATAATCTTTGGAAAAATATGGAATTTGGGAATTCCATAGTGAGGATTCCAATATGAAACTTTTCCAAGGATTATATAATAAACCACTTCAGATGTTAGGTAGATTCTGAAGTACTCCTCTAAGTATTCTATTTGCTACCGGTATGGGTCTAGGCCGAGTCATAACGATGGATGAGGTGGCCCCACGCACCAGGGTTACGTGACGACATAATCCAACTGTATATTTTCCATGAGAGGTTAGGTGTGAGACATGGGTTGATGACATGTTTCACCGTATCAACACTTGGTTTGGATTGTGTTGAGGCCAACATTTGGTTTGGATGTGTTGGTTACATCATGGATTATACAGTGGTGTGACTTTGTTTTGGATGTGGAATATGTATACATATGGTATGGATTGTATACATTGGTTATGGATTCTTTATTATCATAAAATATGTATGCATTGGCATGGATGTGTATACATGATTATGGATTCGTGCATGTTTTGGGTAATATTTGGAGTGCTCTGATTGATTGAAATATTATATTAACTAGTTGGTTGCAGAAAATGTGTGAAATCATGAAGTTAAGTCTATGACCTTTATGCTTCGTATGTTATGAATTACGAGTTAAATGTGTATGATGTTGGATAATTTTTTGGTATAGTTTGTGTTATTCTAGGTATACCTTGAGTCACGAGTGATATATTTAGCTATTCTAGGTGTGTTGCTTAGGCCGCATGCTAGTGATGTATTGAGTTATTCCATGTGTGCCACTTAGGCCGCATGCCAAAGATGTATTGAGCTATTCTAGGTGTACCTTGGGTCACTAATGATGTATTTATGAATGAATGTTCTTTCAAGTATGTTTTTCTAGTAGCATACTAGTAAAGAGAAATGTGCAACTTTTGTCCGGTGCAACATGCATGCATGTATTTATGAGTCAAGTCATTATTGCATGATAAGTGAATGTGTATGTATTCTAATGTATCTATAACTTGAGAGTTGTGCTTGGTTATGTGTAACTTGTGTGATATTTGTTACGAATGTGTGTGTTGCCACTATTACAAGATACATTTTCTACATCGATCCCGTGAAACCATCTACATTGGTTCTAAAATCGATGTAGAATAGAGCGACGTAAAAAATATATAGATTTCTACATCGGTTCTGAGAACCGATGTAGATTAGGACATAAATCTACATCGTTTTTTTAGCAAAATCGATGTAGATTTATGTCCTAATCTACATTAGTTTTAGGTGAACCGATGTAGATTTATCTCCCCTTCTACATTCCTAATCTCATTGTTCCCACATAGGACTTCCTGTTCAAGTGGATGGAGGGCATGTGTTTTATAAAATTGAACATTTTGCAAGCCAAAACAACATTCAATCCAAATATGTATAAACATCTTATTCAAGGAAAGATAAATTAAATAGTACTTCTAATTCAATCCAAGTGATGAGTTTGTTTGACCAAAACCTAAAGGAACAGAAATAGAACCTTTCACCCTGACATAGAAAATTAACCTAATTTCGATTGATTTTTCCAAAGGAGTCAGACTCAAGAGCTCAAAAGTCATTAGAACTCGTACACACAGATGTGTGCGGACCAATCAAGCCAAGATCACTTATGAGTTTGTTTGACCAAAACCTAAAGGAACAGAAATAGAACCTTTCACCCTGACATAGAAAATTAACCTTCCCCAATCCCCCATGATTCTAAAATTCAGTCAACAGAGGATGCCAAATCAAATGATTAATGAAATCATCACAAATGAAGGTGCGCGGCTGGTGACCCCAATTTGTACCAAACTAAATAAACAACGAAAAAGGCATTTTAACAACCAAATTCTCCAAATACTTCTATTCCAAGTTTTCAATTCACACAAACCTATAAGACACTAATAAAGTTTGCAATCAATAGCTTGAAGTCCCTCACGTCGGAATCCCTGTTCTGCTTCTTGCACGCCTCAAGCGCCTCCTCCACTTTCCTCAGCAACACTCTGAGAGGCTCGTTGGACTCCGAAGTCGCCATCACGAGGCCGTGGAAGGCCTCCACGCGGAGCGGGTCTCGCTTGAGTATTTCCTCGAACAGGTTCTGTGCCTGAGTGTGTTCGTTGTAATAATCATTTTTTAAAGGGGTATTTTTGTAATTTTTATTAATGGCATTTTTGCAATTTTATTAAAGTTAGAGGGGTAAATGGGTAACGTGGAACGGGCTGTTCCAAAATTGGAATGGGCCGTTCCAAGCAATAAAAAGACACTAAATTTTAATTTGGGAACGGGTCCAGAACGGGTCGTTCCAACTGGGAGAACGGGCCGTTCTAATTTTAGGACGGGCAATTCTGGAGGGAGAACGGGCCGTTTCGGAAGGAGAACGGACCGTTCTGGATGAGTCTCGGAACGGGCCGTTCCAGTTCTAAAACTTACGTAACCTTTTCGGGCCCAGAACGGGCGTTCCTCTTTTTGAAACGGGCCGTTCCGGGTTAGGCAGGCAGAACTCTATAAATAGGGGGTTGGGGGTGTTGGAAAAGGTGGATTTTGGGAGAAGGTCCTAGAGAGAGAAAGAGGAGAGAGAGAGAAAGAAAGAGAGAGGAAGGGAAAGAAAAGAGGAGAGAGAAAGAGAAATCCAGAGAAAGAGGTTCTGCCAGGGGAAAGAAAAATAGGAAGGAGAGGATGAGGTTCTGCCCTAGTTTCAGATTTTTCTTTTCCAAGTAAGGGTAGTGCTTATAAAATTAATCTAGTACATATGAGCATGATAGGAATAGTATAATTTTAATATGTTATTTTATGTGGAGATTTTCATTTCACATAGTATAAATTGGATCAATTGATGATTGTTTTGGATATTTAATTATTTATATTATTATTATATTGACAATTTGGCATGGTTATGGTTATGTTTATATATAATTATGGAATATGCTATGTGTATGTGATTTGGAAAAGTAAATAGGACTTAGAGGAGTAAAATTATGGTATGGATTGGGAGATCTCTTGGTGAGATCAGGATATAATCTTTGGAAAAATATGGAATTTGGGAATTCCATAGTGAGGATTCCAATATGAAACTTTTCCAAGGATTATATAATAAACCACTTCAGATGTTAGGTAGATTCTGAAGTACTCCTCTAAGTATTCTATTTGCTACCGGTATGGGTCTAGGCCGAGTCATAACGATGGATGAGGTGGCCCCACGCACCAGGGTTACGTGACGACATAATCCAACTGTATATTTTCCATGAGAGGTTAGGTGTGAGACATGGGTTGATGACATGTTTCACCGTATCAACACTTGGTTTGGATTGTGTTGAGGCCAACATTTGGTTTGGATGTGTTGGTTACATCATGGATTATACAGTGGTGTGACTTTGTTTTGGATGTGGAATATGTATACATATGGTATGGATTGTATACATTGGTTATGGATTCTTTATTATCATAAAATATGTATGCATTGGCATGGATGTGTATACATTATATTTTGGATTGGTCTATATTTAGCTTGGAAATGACTTGTTGGTCTGGATAAATACTGTGGATAAATAT